AACCATAAATAAAACAAATATTTAATTATAAACTTTGGAGCTGCTACAAGGCAACATTGAGCTCTAAAGTGAAATAATTGTGTGTATTTGTGTGTGTGTGTGTGTGTGTGTGTGTGTGTGTGTGTGTTTTGAGGAGGCTGGGAGACTAGTTAGCCAAGTTGGCCAGAGAAAAACTCTGTAAAGGAAGCAGTTCACCTGAGATCTAAAGGGTGAACTGTACTCAGCCGTGCCCAACACGGGAAGAATATTCTCTGAAGAATGAAAACATGGACAAAGATTCCAGGATATAAATAAACTTGTTTTGTTCAAGGGATGGAGGAGCCAATGTGGCTGGAGCAGAGGTGGGGCACAGGGGTGGTAGATGTTCGGAACCTCAAGTGGGACCTCAAGGATCAGGAAGAGGCCAGGTCACACGGAGTCTGTAGGCCACAGCAGGGAATTTGGATTTCATTTTAAGTGAAATTCAAGGGCTGGGGACATAGCTCAGTGGTATAGTGTTTGCCTAGCATTCTCAAAGGCCTAGCTTTGATCCCCACCCGTTCAAAACCAAAGAAACCCTAATGAAATAAATGAGGGAGTTTATGAAGTAAATACTCCACCCCCAGAAGAGAAATCAGTGGTACAGATTTTAATGTAATTGAACTTGGATATGACTCACTATTCCTATTATTAGATCATGTGAAAATATATCTTATTCTTGCCAAGCATGATGGCGCATGCCTGTAACCCCAGCTGTTTGGGAGGTTGAGGCAGGAGGATTGCAAGTTGAAGGCTAGCCTCAGCAACTTAGTAAGCCCCTGTTTCAAAATAAAAAAAAATAAGAAAGATTGGGGAAATAGCTCAATGGCAAAATTTCCCCCTCCCCCACAATCTCCAAAGGAGAAAAKAATGAAGAAAGGAAATAAATATATCCTACCTTGATGTTTAGGTTCATTGCTAGAATGTACAACTCACTTTTCTCTTCTTGGCCATTTTCCTGTGGCTGTGGTAGGGATATCTGATCACCAGAARGCTCTTGAGGAAAGGAAACTAGTTGGCAAATCCAGAAGAATCTGATTCCCAGGCATAGATTACACTCCTGTAATCTGTTACTTGAGAGGCTGAGGCAGAAGGATTGCAAATTTGAGACCAGCCTAGGCAACTTAGATCCTGTCTTAAAATAAAAAGGGCCAGGGACCCAGAGATGTAACTCAGTGGCAGAGCATTTGTCTAGCATGCACAAGGTGCTGGGTTCAATCCCCTATACCAAAATGAAAAAGTCGAGAGAGAAGGACTCTATCATTCCTTACACCCTGGATCTGTCTATCATCTCACTGTCCAAAGAGCTAGGAGCCAGAGATGCCCACTAAGATTAGTAACAAGTAAGATGTGTTCTTTGTCTCTGTTCTCCACTCCCTTATAGCAAGCWTTCTGTGGGGTCACGGCCCCCAGATAAATTACTTGCATTCAAATCCATATATTCTGGGCTGCTTCTGGGGAAACCTGAACATTAGCTTAACTTTAAACAAAGAAGAAAAGAAAGTCACTGAGTTTTCTGGCACCCATTAACATCASGTTTCCTTCCTGAGTCAAAGGCCTGAGTCATAACACTAGGTTACACAGCCTGACAGATTCCATTGATAGCAGGTGAAACTAAATGTGAAGATTGAGAAAGTCAGATTTTAAGAAAAAAACATTCTGATATGCTCTAAATAGATGTGATTTAGATAAGCTTTAGTGGGAAAGGGACAAAAATACTAATGGGACAGTTCAAAAGGAAATGTGTGTCATAAAGCCGTAATCTATGACTTGTGGTAATAAATCAGTCAGAAGTTCCTTCCTAGCCCCTAACCTCTGTGACTAAAGACCTCTTGTGACCTACCACAGCTTGCAGTCCAAATAATCAAAAGTTCACAAGAGAATCACGGATAGAAGATTTGGTGTAGAAGAGAAATAAGTACCTGAGATAACCTTACAACGCAAAAATATTTTGTGCAATACGTTTTTATTTCTATGATTYTGTGTGAATTTTTCCCCATTTTGTTTTACAATGAAACCATTTTGATGTTGTTGTCTTGGACCCTAGAACTTTCTGATTGTCTTTATGGGCTTTTATTTTAATTTTTTGAGATTGGGTATCCCTATGTTGCCCAGATTCGTCTCAAACTCCTGAGCTCAAGTGGTCCTCCTGCCTCAGCCTCTCAGGTAGCTGGGACTTGAACCACAGTTCCCTGCTCTTTACGGGGCTTTTAAAGAGATAAATTGGGAAAATAGGAAATAGCATTATGCCAAGGAAGAACCTTAATCAACAGGAATTGTTATAATGATGCAATGATTCCGTGTTTTTTGAGGGCTTCAATTCTGGGACCAAACCAAATAAAATAAATAAATATTGGACATGAGACACAAATGTTGAAATCCTAAGAGGCTAAATTCAGTCAGAATACTCACCCCACTATCATCTTTTGCCAAACGGCTAGAGACTAAGTCAAGGCCATATTACTAAATTCTGAGTTAAGGCTGTGGCAAAACTTTATTTTATAGTGATGCCAAATATTAATATTTGAAATAAATGCATTTTAAAAATACAAATATAATACCAGGTGTGATGGCATTATACACCTATAATCCCAGTGACTCCAGAAGTTGAGACAGGAGGATTACACGTTAGAAGCCAGCCTCAGAAATTTAGGGAGGTCCTAAGCAATTTAGAAAGACCCTGTCTCAAAAGGGCTGACGATGTAGTTTGGTGGCAAAACACCCATGAGTTCAACCTCCAGATCCCCACTATTTAATATATATATATATATATATATATATATAGTGTTGTTGTGTTGTTTATCCTCGTGTCCAACATTTCAGGACATCAGGACATCAGGGCAGGACTACCTAGACTTAGGGAGGAAGTGGGAGCACAGCAGTGGTGAGGTAAGGACAAAAAATGTCCTTCTCAATTAGTACCCAGCCTAGGGTCTCTTTAAATGTCTTCTTGTCCAATGGTTCAATGAAATGGTGTCATGAAAATTAAAAGGGTGGGRTCAACAAAAGATGACCACAGCAGGGAAGTGACTTGTTAGTGATTTTCCTAAGGATGTAGATACATGGTGGATATTGGGGATGAATACTAATATGGCTCATTCTTGCTTCTGTAGATAGTTGTCTTGATACCAATGGGCATGTATTTATGTATTTAGTTACTGGGGTTTGAACCCAGGGGCATTTTACCACTGAGCTCTATGCCCAGCCCTTTTTTTTTTTTTTTTGAAACAAAGTCTAAGTTTCTTAGTCTGGACTGGAACTTTCCATCCTCCTGCTTCAGCTTCCCAAGTGGCTGGKATTATAGGTGTGTGCCACCATGCCCAGCTACCTATGAGTTTTTAGATGATAATGAAATTATGTTTTAACATAGCATTAAAACACTTGAATTACTAAYAGATGTTTATGTTGGGAGAACTTCTTTCACATCAGGGGTAAATATGTGTTGACAAATATGTCCTCCCCAACTATGAACCTTAAACTAATCTGTTGAAAGGCAAAATAAGTTTTCACATATGAACTGCTAGAAGTCCAAATTAAGGTTTCAAAGAAGTCAGAGTGTATGAACTTGAAATATAACAGTGGTAGGGAAAATGGGTTTCACTTTGTGGAGAGATTTGGCATCTACTTCAGGGCACATCTGTCTTTTTTTTTTTTTTTCCTTATATTTCATTTCAAGTCCTGAAATAACTCAATTTAAAAACTCATTGCYGTCTTTTAAAAAGACTCATTAGAATTTTCAATGGGAAAGTTAAATGTGAAACCAATTGATTTTAAAGTCATGGAGAGGAAATTGGAATTTTAAATTCTGTCTTCAGATTTGGTTAGTGAACTTGAGAACAAAATAAAAGAGACTGGTTTGATTTGTCTATTTAGGTGAATTCTAAAACATGTCATTGGACTCCAGGGAACAGCCTAGCACATGGCTGGCTGCTATAGGCCAGCAGGGCCCTGAATTCTACCAAATGCTTGAGAAACACAACTAATGGAAAGAACTAGCCTTTAGGGCTAAGTCAAGACTGACTGTACCTCTCTGTGAACGACTGTGAATACTCTACTTCTCTGGGTCTTGGTTACTCATCTCCAAACTCCAGCTCTCACATAAGAGTCTGTGAGCTATTGGGGGAGGCCGGGTTCCATCTGAGAAAGTGAGAGAAGTCTTAAATTATAGAGGTCCCTGTGTGTGGCCTTAAGCCTTGTATTTTATGGAGACACATTTGCAGAGAAGAATTGACATGGCTAAGTATTCAGATTATTGGAAAGTAAAGTACCTCTTATTTTTTACTCCTCCCCATGTTTTCTACAAAGAATATGTTTTATTATTATACTAAAATGTCCAGGTGGAGGAATGTGGGGGTGGAGAAAGATGACTACCGGTACAGGGGWACAGTTAGGAGAAATAATTTTTAATGTTCTGTAGCACACAGTAGGGCAACTAAGGTTGGCAACAATTAATCACATATTTCAATGGAGGTAGTCGAGAGGATTTTGAATGTTCCCAACACAAAGAAATGACAAATGTGTCAGGTGATGTATCTGCCAATTACCCAGATGTGATCATTACACCTTATCTAATACATCACTGCGATATCACACTGTACCTTATAAATATGTACAAGTGAAATGATCTGAAAAGGGGAAAATGTTACAGGCAGGAGCATATAAAGTTAATATTAAAAACAAAACAAAAGCAAAGATCTTATCTAACCCTAGCAGTATGAGGAAGTTCCCTGAAGGAATTTACCTGGCCGCGTGTCTCTGGCTCAGACACACCTTCAGGATCGGGGCCCTCCCCCRCCCGCCTCTCCATTATCAGTTCCCCATCAGCGCGGGGCGGAGGCGATGCTCTGCGTCTTCCTCCTGATACCCAGGCCCGGGTCAAGGTGAAGTTGACGTGGGCTAAGCTCGACTGTTGGTGTTGGCAGGAGCAGCCCTGCAGGGGGCTGGGCTTACTCAGGGGCGCGTCCCGTTGTGCTGTCTTCCAGCTCGCCCGTGCTTCGTGGGGGAGTGGAGCCCCTGGAGTGGCTGCGCGGACCAGTGCAAGCCGACCATCCGCGTGCGCAGGCGCTCGGTGCGCCAGGAGCCCCAGAACGGAGGGGCGCCCTGCCCGCCCCTGGAGGAGAGAGCCGGCTGCCTGGAGTATGCCACGCGGCAGGGCCAGGACTGCGCGCACGCCTTCGGTAGGGATGATGGCATGGTTGCGGCCGTGGTGACCTTCGATGACTTCTTGGCCCCTTCCTTCCATGAAAGGCCATGGCTGTGCAGGGAGAGTTGCACACACTGCGGGGAGCGAGTGGGTTGGGCCRGTCTGCCCAAATTGGATAGGAAGTTCAGGAAATGCTTGAGAAGGAATGAATGGCCAGCTGTACAAATGACTTTCTTTCCCTCCCTGTCCTCTGTGTGTTTTTAATTCCATGGTCCATTCTCATTGTACACAGACTCAGCAATAAAATAAAACACTCACATGGCCGTGCATGTATGTGTGTGTGGGATGTTGGCCCGTGCATACCTGCRCCCCAGGATCAAGCACCAGGCCTCACATTTGCTAGGCAGGTGCTCTACCTGTGAGCCACACGCCAGCCTTTTGCATTCWCATGGTTTTTAGTGAATCAAACAGGTGATGGAAAACTTTTTGATTAATTGATTATTTTGCGGTACTAGGGATTGAACCAAGGGCACTCTAGTACTAACCTACAACCTCAGTCCACCCCGCCCCTTTTTATTTTTATTTTTAAAACAAGGTCTGTGAATTTGTCCAGGTTGGCCTGGAAAGTGAGATCCTCCTGCCTCAGCCTCCTGAGTGGCAGAGGTCACAAACTACAGGTGTGTGGCACTGTGCCCCACTGTGATAGAGAACTTTAGATAGGATGATATTTCACATCCAGTGAAATGATAGGATGATGATATTTCGTGTCCAAGTGTCCAGCTAGGATTA